CCAAGCGCCCGTGCTCTATTTCGTCACCACCAGCACACGCGGCAACCGCATCACCTGCCACGACACCTCGGCCCCTAATCTCTTCAGCCACTTCTTGGTCTACATCTCGGTCATGCTGGGCCTGCTCTTCGCGGTGCCCTTCGCCACCATCCTGGTCTGCTACGTGCTCAGGTGCTCTACTTCCTGGCTGGGCAGAGGCTTGTGCGCTTTGCCCGGGACTCCAAGCCACCCACGAATCCCACTCCTACTGCCCAGGCTAGCCGCAGGCTGGACCTGCGCAAGTTTCATAGAACTGACCCCAAGGCAGAAGACGGGTCGGCCAGCAGTGAGAACTCCAGCAGGCAGTCCCCGTTGGCTGGTGGTGGGAACACTAAGGACATCAGGCTGTAAGGCCTAAACCCCTCCGGCCTGTGCAAGCTTGTATGGGGGACTCTGTAGGGGCTATGACTTGCTCAAATGAGGTGGTCTCCCCAGATATGGATCATCATGACTCATGCTGATGGTCAAGGGAGCCATGACCCCAACGCTCTGTCACTCGGCAGGGGCTCAGGACACTCTGTGGTCCGCGAGCTCAACAGTCCCCCACAGCCCCATCACCATTTATATGTGTCAATTGGGGAATAAGGTTTCAAGAAGGAAAGGGTTCAGGGCCTGACTCACCCACAAAAATAGCTGGCCGTGCCTGCCAAGGGACCTAGGCTAGAGCCCTGCTGAACCAAGTCACATAGAGAAACAGGCCAAGAAAGGCAAGTGACTTACCAACGTCACACAGAGGCACTGGGCCTGAGCTACCTGGGAGGGGTGGGGTCCCAGGCTGACTAGAGGACCCTGGTTGCTGACTAGAGGACCCTGAGCCAGAGCTTCCCACAGGGGAACTGGGGCCGGTCTGGGTGCCACAGTGGATTAAGCAATGAGAAGTACCCCCAGCCCAAGAGATGAACATCTGGAAACTGATTCATAAACCCATCCGGAGGCTCCCATGGGCTGGGAGCCAGTTTGAGGCTGTAACTCATACTAAAAGTGTTGTTGTCTGCTACGCTTGTGCCCTATTGTGTGGTTGGAGGATGGGGATGCAGCCTGAGAAGCTCTCACCAAGCACAATAGGTTTCTTTCTCCAACCTGTTCTCATCAGCCACCTGCCTTCCCACTAGCTGCCTCCGTGGTGGTCTCATATCAGGTGTCCCCTCTCTAGACCCCAGGTCAGCCCCCACCTTAAAGCTAACTGGCTTTTGTACCGAGCTCTGCTGGCACAGAGAGGAGTCAGGTGGGGTCCCAGTCCTTGGGATCCCCCAGTTTAGGACTTAATGGCAATCATGTACTGGTAAATGTTAAAACATTTAACTGGCCCTCCAGGTGGGTGAGGGGAACCCCTTATTTGTAGCATTGCCAATTGCCGTGGTACAAACATTCTTACAATGACCAATTTCAGGCTACCAATATAATGTCAACCTTCTGCACAATTCCTGAGAATTTAACAATTGGCTCTTGCAAACAGTACAAATTGTTTCAACACATCACTGGACAATGTTGAATGGTTGGGGCTGTGGACTCCCAAGCTATAGTTTCTGGGGAAAGCAGTTCATTGGAAACATCCAAGTGCAGGGTGCATCCTGGGCAAAGACATGGGGCCAGGAGAGCAGGGTGTGCAGGAACTGGAAGCAGGCTGGGCAGCTGGTGCCCAGGCTAAAAGCAGGAATGAGGTGGGGGCTGGGTCATAAGGAGGTCAAGTCAGGGCTCCCTCCTTGACCTGATCATGTGGTTCCCTTAGCACTGAGTAGTGTGGGAGAGACTCACTCCTCTTCTGTCCAGTCCTCTGCCTTCGTGGAAAATCCAGCTACATGGCAAAATGGTTGGTGTTCCGGTTGGGTCAGGGCTTAGTGTGGGGGAGATGGGTCTCACCTATACCAGGTTCTGGGTCCAGCCAGGACCACTCTAGAGATTTGTGGAGCTCAGCTGGACAGGGACCACTAGCCTTTGGGCAGGGATGGGGCAAAACTGACAGGCCTCACAGTTAACCTCAAGGATAAGGACTCACTCCCTCCCTAAGGGCCCACTCTACCTGAGATAAGGCTCTTTCCTCGTCTCACTTTCCCAGCCTCCGATGACTTCTCCACCCTTCCCACTCCACCTTGGCAAAAAGGGGCACCCCCAAAGGTTGCTCTATTTAGAGACTAGCTTCTCAGCTCCTCATGTGACAGGGACCCATCACAAGCCATGACCCAAATGATTACTCTGCATGGTACAATGTGGGTGACCTGCCCAGAATAGAGTTAAAGGCTTACCTCCCACATTCTAGGTCTTATACTTCTGTTAATGTAACCCGAGTCCCTAAGAACTTTTTTCGTGACGACCTCTTTCAGGTTGTCTTTGCGCCTTTCCTGTAGGTTTGAGTCTGTCTCTTTCCTACTGGCTGCTGTTCAGACTGAAACCCACCCTAGTGTATAGGGACACCCTACCCAGGTAAGATGCTGTGCTGGCCAGAAGTGTAAATGTTGGGCTCTGACTCCCTTAGCCTTTCTTAGATCCAGAATCAGGGGTTCTATGTCATGATTTTGGGGACTCTTGAGAGTACATCAGTGGTTGGGGGTGGGACTGTGGACACCGTGGGCCCAAGGTCCCTTAGTCTGAATTCTTTTCATATCTTGCCCACCAACCCCTCCAGCAGCTACCCTGGAGACCCCAAAAACCCAGGACACCACAGCGCATGGAGACAACACTATGGCCTAGCCCCATGAAGTCTTCCTTCACCCAGCTGCCTGCAGATTTCTAAGGACACAGGACCTAGGGGACACAGGGTGGCTGACTCACCCCCTAATCTTGTGGCAGGGAGTGGAGAATGGAGACCCTAAGGAACCCAGGGACAGGCCCAGGGTCCCACCTCTGGACCCCAGTTGGACTGCCTGGCCCGCTCGGTGTGGACATCTGGCCTGCAGCTCAGTGCCCAGGCCACCTGCCTGGTGGGTGAGGTTCCTGACCCTGTTGCCTTGTGCTATTTTCAGCTCAAGCAAGATCAGGATTTTCCACTCCCAGCCCCAGACCATTGTCCAACAGTGACATGGGGGGACATGCCTGCTCTCAAAATATCTCCTCTTACTCCTGGGCCTCCCTGCCCCTCCCCACCTTCCCACCTCCTCACCCTGACATCACTTCCTGAGGCTGTTGACTCCTGAAGGCCACTGTGAAAGGGCACAGCCCCCTGACAGGGAGGGACCCCAGGGATTATCCAGCCCAGCTGCAGACTCAAGGCCAGAGAGGGGCGGGGCCTTGCCCAAGATCACTCACGAGGTCAGATGGCGCCTGGACATATGCCTAGGGCTCAGGCTGGCCCTGCTGCCCTGCTTCCTTTACTGCAGGTTGGTGCCTTAGTGGGAATCCTGCTGTCACCTCTGCCCCAAGTGGACAGAGCTGCAGCCGAGGCCAGGGACAGGGGCAGGGGGTTGGGGTAAGAGTCGGGTGGGGGAAGTAAATGCCTGCTGACTTGCCTGCAACAGCTGTTCTCAAGGAGCTCCCTGCAACCCGGGCAGGGACCCTGCACAGAGGGGTCTCTGCCCTGGGTAGCAGGTATCCCAGGGCCCATGAGGGAGGGGGAGTCCCAGAAGACATTCCCACTCTCACCCTCCAAGGCTAGGGGACCCCCTGAACAACATACTCCCCAGACACAATTTGCTCCGGTCTAGGCCCCTTGTCACAGCAGATTTGAGCTGATCTGTTCCGAGTGAGGTGCACGAGGAAGGGAACTCATTTCCAAATCCATGCCCCAGGCACCATGCCAGACCCTATCACATCCATTTTGTCACTATTTCTTCACTACAACCGTGTGAAATAGACATTCTTATCCCCGCTCAGCAGATGAGGGGACAGGCTCCGGGAAGTGACGGCTTGCTCCAAGTTATACAGGCAGTTAAGTGACTCGAGACTGAGCCCAGGTCCGTCTGAGGCCCAGATTAGTTCCCTTTCCAGTATCCCTGGCCACTCGAAACCCCTATGGGGAAGGAGGGCCAGGTGACGAGAATGGGGTTAAGAGCACAGATTCTACGCCCAGACCATCTGGGTTTGAGTATGGTCTCCAATTCTTCCAGCCCTGGAGCCCTGGGCAAATTACTTAACCTGGCAGTGCCTTGGTTTTCTCTTTTCTAAAAGGAAGCACGGCCCCCCATGCAGGTCACTGGGAGGCTTACCTGAGTTAATACACATGGAGCACTTAGAATAGGGCCTGGCACGTGGCAAACGTTCTCACGCAGGCACTGTGCAAGAGGCCATGAAGGCGAACCAGCCAGACCCTACCTTCATGGAGTTGACATAATTTAATATGTAACCACATGAGTATAAGTTATTTGAAGAAAAGAACAGCGTGTCCGGCCAGTGAGCACCACGGGTCTCCTGTGGCCAAGGCTTCCCCAGGGTTTAGGAGGAGGGGAGCAGGTCCTTTCTGGAGTAAGGGGTGGGACCACCCTCTACCCAACCTGGCACCGTGTAGCCTTCAGGCACATGGGCCGTGTGTTTACAGAACCTGGTCCAGGTGCCTGGCCGTGGGAGGGCAGCGGGGAGGATGGACCGTGGGAGGAGGAGGAGGAGGAGGAGGATGCCCTTGATGTCAAGCTTCTGCTGCCAGTCCCTTTGGGCTAGAGAGCTCCCACCCACCCGTGGAAGCAGATTAAGCCATTTCTCTCTGACTAATGGTGCCTGCCATGGGGTGCTGCAGCCACTCCTAGGTTCAACTAAGATTCCCGTGTGGGAGTCCTGGATTGGACCTGGGCCTAAGCAGGCAATGTATAGGCAGCTTTTGCTGTGTGATCTGAGGCCACCTGCCTTCCCTCTCTGGGCCGCTCTGGAGAACTTGCCTCCCTCGTTCCAGTTCTCCCTATCTCAATTAGGGCATCAGCGATCTAGATTTTCATCACAGGCACAGCTAACAGCTGCTCCCCCAGGCATACCCAAAGCCCGCTGAGCTCTCAGTTTTGAGAACTAGAGTGGGGGTAGTGAGTCTCTCTGGCATCAAGTGACCAGAGAGGTAAAGTGACTCCATTGGCACCACACTGTGCCTTGAATGGAGCCAGTCCAATCTGATGCTCCTGTCTCCTGCAGGCTGGTGGGTGGAGCTTGGCCAGAAGTGGCTGCAGGGTGAGGAATTTTCTTGCCTTCCCAAGGGGAATGTGCTTGTGGGGGGTGGGTGATGGGGGGAAATGAGCCCCAGAAGTCAAACTCTCATCCTCCTCTGCCCTGATACACCATGTGACTTGCTGAATCCCTTCTCTCTGGGCTTCAGTGTCTGATCTTCAGTAGGGCTTGGCTCAGTCCAGCGATTCTTCCGTTAGCAGGGGCTTCCTGGGCTTGCCTCTGCCTTAGCTCCAGCTTAGCCAGGTCTTCTGTCCCAGCCCTGTCCCATCCTGAAACAATGGGCCAGCCCGGGCAAGTCACTCATCTGCCCCAAACCCAGTCCCCAGGGGCTCCACCCTGGACTATTTTCAGCCCTTGGAGATGGAGTCAGAAAAGGATTTTCCACTCCCAGCACAATGGCTGCCCTGGACCATTGTCCAGCAGTGATCGGGGGATATTGCCTGCTCCAAAATATCTCCCCTGCCCCTACCTCCTGGGCCTCCCTGCCTGCTCGTCCCCGCCCCACTGTGACATTGCTTCCTGGGGCTGTGAACTCCTGAGGCCCACAATGAAACAGCACGTGAGTTCCCTGGGAGACATGACCACTTGGAATCCGTTTCCTCTCCTGGCAGGGACCCCAGGGATTTTTGGCTGCTTAGAGGACTGGAGGCCCAGAAAGGGCTGTGCCTTGTCCAAGGTCACAGAGCGGTCAGCATGGAGACTACATGTGAGGCCAGGGTCCTCGGGCTGCTCCTGCCTCAGCTGCCTTCCCCAGTGCTAGTTGGTGCTCACTTTCAAGGCTGGGGGTGGGCGTCCTGGAAAGAAGCCTGAATGACATGGGAGGGAGGCAAGGGTGTATCTTGGGATCTGACTTTGGAGATCCCTATTCAGTCCTGGGGACTCACTCTCAGGGACTCACTCTCAGTCTACTGTGGGCTC